TATTTGTATAAAAGGTTTGGCTTTTTGTACAAAAAAACAGAGATGGTTCATGCTATCTTTCCCCCATTTTTCCTAACTTAAAAATAGATTTATGTATTTAACATGTATTTGTTAAGTGTCTGCCTATTAAGAGAAGAGACTGTTCTAGGCACAAAATACATAGTGAATAAAACAGACAAAAAGCCCTGATCTCATGGCGCTTGCTAGGAAGACATAAAATATAACCCCTGAGAAGGTGATAAATGTATGGAAAGTAAGAAAAGGCTAATGGCATTGAGAATGCTGGGAAGGGGTGGACACCAATGACAACTGTGTGATCAGGATAGGCTTTCCTGTAAGTCGCTTTGGGACAGAAGTCTGAGGGAAGTGAAGGTGTAATTATGTGAATAACTAGGGAAAGAGTATTCCCGCAGATGGGAGGCCAGTGCAAAGGCCCTGATATAGAACTATGGTGGGTAAAGAAGTCACTCTGACTGAGATAAGAGAGGGCAAAAGAAGTGAAGGGTGAAATTAGAGACAATGTGTGAGAACGAGGCTCTGGCAGCTATCTTGCCAACATGAGAGAACTGAGAATCACGTAGATACCTACGTTGTCAAGCAGTTGGACCATCACTAGAAGCCATCTAACTCAACATTTCTTGTTATTGAGAGAAATAATTACCCATTTGTTTAAGCCACTAGGTGAGTTTTCAGTTACTTGTGTATAAAATCATTTCTAATGGACAAAAGTGTTTAGTTTAATGGCTGACATAGGTAAGTGCTCAAAGCATGTAGGCAAAAAATGGTTATGTGTGCGTCTCCGGACTAAGCCATCCAGTATGGAGGACAACAGACCTTTAAAAAAAATAACAGTAAAAGTTCCAATAGCCATAGTAATCAGAAGATGAAATATGGTATTTAAGGAGTTTATGAGTTCCCTATTACTGTGATAATTTGTGAGATATCTTAAATGTTCACAGAGTTGAGTCTGCTGTGCCTTTTGCCATACTTGGTAAACAAAAGTTAATTAAAAGATGGCAACAATGCTGTCAGTATGATTTGTTTAAGCCCTTTCTATGTATGTATGTGTGTATGTGTGTATGTATATGTATGTATGTATTTATTGTTGTTGTTGTTGTATTACAGTTGTCCCAATTTTCCCCCATTATTCTTCTCTGCCCCTCACCATTCTCACAGTCAGTCCCCACTGTTGTCCAAGTCTGTGGGTTATTTATACTTGTTCTTTAACCAGGCCCTTATTGTCCTTTCCTCCCTTATCCTCCTTTCCCCTCCCCTCTTGTCCTTGTCAGTTTGTTCATTGTTTCCATGCCTCTGGTTCTATTTTGCTCATTTGTTTGTTGTGTTTATTATCCCTTTTAAAATCCTACTTTTTTTATCTCACTAATTGTCATTGATAGCTTTATCATCTAGATGACTAGATTTTGGATATGAAGTTATTTCACATCTAGTAAATCCTGACATAACTGTGACCAAGGACTTTGGTCTTTTGTGTGTGGTATATGGCTGAAATAAATCTATTTCTCGATATTTTTCTTTGTGGATAAATTTTTACCCCCACTGTTTCTGCCAATTAGAGAAGTTACTGGAGATGTTTAACTATTATGTTACACAATCACTTTGTAAGCATTTTGCTGAGGGGATCTAATTAGGTAAAGCCTAGAACATAGACTGGATATAGTTAAAATTTCATAGTAATTTTAGCTATAAAATCTATGGATTTATTTATGTATTTATTTCAGCCAAGTTGTTACACATAGTTTTGTTTTTTAAAAATGTTTATGGTGTCCTTTAATTTAGTATGATAAAGATACAAGTTGATACTGTTTGTATCAACTGATGTGTGACAATGTAAAAAATATATTAAAGGTACTGTATAATTTTGATGAGTATGTCCATTTCCTAATATTTTATTCAGTCACGCTTCACATATCATTATCTAATGACCATCTGTACAAAGAAAACTAAACATGTAAAGGTTATAATTTTGTAAAGGCTGTAATTTTACTAATGATGTAAAGGTTATAATTTTACATAGAAATGGCTAATTGGAACATCCAAGAACTTTTGGAGAAAAAGAATAGATTCTTAAGCTCACAAGATAAATCAGCTCAAATGACTATCATAGTTTTATAGTACATATTAGATTAGAAATCCAGATGAGAAGATTAACTCTTTATATTTTCAAACTAGTATTGAATTGTAATGTTATTTTGAGAATGTTCATTTTGTTACTCAACAGCTGTTTAATTGAGTCAGAGAAATATTTTGTAAAGATAAAATCACATGCACAGATAATATGAGCTTCCCCAAGTTTTCGTAACTGATTTTAATTTAGGTTAATTAAACAATACAGTCTCATATAAATTAGTATAAGGCTGACTTATTCATTCAAGATTTTATAAATTCTAAGAGAACACGTGTTTTCCATAGATATTAAGCTAACAGCTTTTCTGACATTTTATTATGACAATATTCATTTTACTAAAGATCTTTCATTAAAAATGTTTAACAAGATGTAACAAGCTATAATATTTTATAATTGGAGCATAATTTAACAGACTTTTGAATTTATGAGATGATTTCGTGAAATCAATAGAGTAAAAGGAAAAATGAAGAAGAAAAAATAGTTTCAGTGTTTAAAGATATTTTTTGTACAGAGATTAATACATACTTTTATGGATTGATTTAAAATGGAATACAATTAAATATGCCATAATTCCTTTTTGATTTTGAATTTGATTTATTTGACTAATTAAGGACATTCTTTCTGTACAATTTTACTATTTTCTGCAATGGGCTCTGAAAGAACAGCCGCAACTACTCCAGGAAGAGTGGCTGACCGAGCAGACCAAGGCAGCTCCTCTGCCGCCTGTTCCCGCAGGGTCGGCAGCCCGCGCGCCAGGGCGCCGCCCCACTGCAGCCTGCGGAAGTGGGACAGGACTTCGCTTCCACACTGCCAACAGCAAAGCGCCCCGCCACCCTCCGGCCAAGTGGGTGTTGGGTGAGGGGGCCCCTAGACGAGTTTCCCTTTCCCCCAGGCACCTGGCCTGGGTCAGTCAAGACAGTGCGCTCTTGTATTCCGACTCCAAGGATCCATCCACAGAGAGCTACTCTGGGGGCCTGCTCTGTGTGCCCTGGGCCCCTGACAGGGGCTACTTCTTGATGGGTGGTAAGGATGACCTGATCACAGTGTGGTCCTTCACCAAGGGCTGTAAAGTGGCCCGTGGCCATGACCCCTAGTCCTGGGTCAAAGCTATGGCCTTTGACCTCTACACCAAGGTGGCCGTGGAGGCCGCAGCAGCCTGGGTGAGGGGGCACGCAGTGTCAGGAGGAGGAGGAGGAAGAGGAGCCCGAGGCAGCTGGCCTAGGCTCGAACACCAGAACCCTGATCTTTGGGGTGCCCAAGGCTGGCTCCATTACCTATCGCTTCTGCTCCTCTTCCTTCAGGACACACAGTTCTGCTTGTGGGACCTCACTGAAGGTGTGCCTTTGCCCTTCTTGTTCCTGGCCCACAGTCCACGCTCCCTGGCAAGCCCAGCGTTGAGCCACCTGCCACCAGCAGCTCTCGGGGTGGCGAGCCAGGCCCTGGGCCCGAGCCCTGCTCGCTGTCCAACAGCCTCCCACACCGGGTGGGCAGTGGCAAAGCGCGGGGCCCGGGCATGGAGTTGGAGCCAGGCAGGCCATTTAGATTATGATTCAGATGCAGGGGGACAGGGAAGCATAGGGGCACAGGGCGCGGAGAAGGAGCACAAGTGCTACAGCAGCTTGGGCAACATCAGCCAGGATGAGGCAGGGACAAGCCCAGTGTCCCGTTCCCTGCAGCAGGCTGGACCTAGCCAAGGTGCGAGGGATAGTGCTGTGCCCACGCATCCACCACGTGCCGTTACTCAAGCCCTTGGTGTGCAAGGTTACCCAGGAAGCAGCTGACTGTCCTCTTCTTGGAGGGCCTCATTCGCACCTGGGCGCGGCTGCGCAAGGCGTTCACAGACGAGGAGGTGGAGGGCCAGGCGGGAGAAGGAAGCTAGCCCAGGTTACCTGGCCAGTCAGTGGTGGGAGGAATCTCCTCCCAACCAGGAAACTCCCCAAGGGACACAGTAAGGTGAAGACCTGGATGTCGGGCTCCCCACCCCCACGCTGCCTCCGGCCATCGCCCTCCCACCAACTTCACAGATCAACGAATTAACAAGCCTCACCACAGTTGGATGGACTGCTCTGGGCTTCTCACCCCTTGGACAAATTTGGGGGACAGGGGGTCCCTCCAGACTGACTCTGGAGGGAGGCAGTGGTTCACGGAGAAGAATGAATTCTTCTCCCCACTCACTGTCAAGTACAATAACCCCTTCTGCTGGAGCTTCCGTGTTAGTCTCATCCCTGTGTCCAACGCGTCCTCACCCCCACAAGCCCCAGTTAGGCCCAACGCTGCGGGATCTTCCTTCTGTTTCTGGCACGGCAGCTTGCTCCAAAATCAGACCGGCAGCGGTGCAGTCCCAGAGCAGGCAGGGCCTGAGCAGCAGCGGCAGCAGCAGCGGCTGGACACGCAGGCCACCCGCTCCCTCTGACCTGGGGCGGTGAAGCAGCACAGAATGCACAGATGATGCGTTTCAGAATGGAACACCTGAACGCTATATAACTTTATTAATGAATGTCAGCCCAAGATATTACATAAAAGAAGAAAAAACAAAACACAACGCAGCGCTCTGCCCTCGAGGACTCGAAATTCGAAGCCTTGGAGAACAGACCATTCAGCAGCAAGACAGGCCGTGTCACGTGCTGCCCAACGGAAGCTCCTCCCGCTCCCGCGCGCGCAGCCCAACGGAAGCTCCCGCGTTCCAGGCCGCGATCGGCGGTTGCTCCGGAAACCGTTGGCGGAGGTGCAAGTAGGCGGTCTCGTGCAGCTCGTTCCCTTCCTGCAGGGTCTTTGAGAACGTGGCGTTTCCGCAGGATTGAATCTCAGTCCCTCTGAGACAGCATCAGAGTTGGGGCCCAAGACCGCGGCGCAGATGGAGCCCGAGTCCCTGCGGGAGTTGGAGAAGCCGGCGGGGCCTGATGGGAATCTGGGGGCGGCTCTGAAGGGTGAGCGGGCCCCGGCCTCCGCAGAGAAGTTGTATCCGCTCATAGAGTCAAGTCAGGAGCGGGAAGCAGAGATAAGCTGGGATTCAGCGCAGCGTGCGGAGCCACTAGGAGCGGAGCAGGAGTCACTTTCCTCCTGGGTGTCCATGAAGCCAGATTCAGCTCCAACCACGGCACAGTTCGTAACTGAAGTGTCTCATAAGCGTCGCTGCAAAACCAACTGCCTGGAGGCTCCACTGTCCCGGGCCTTCCGATGGCTGGGAAGGAAGGTGGGCTTGCACCCCTGGGTCTTCCTGCTGGCGCCCATACTGCTGACAGCTCTTCTGGGCACTGGCTTTACTTACCTGCCCAAGGATGCACAAGAGGACCTTGAGGAGCAGTACACTCCAATCGGGAGCCCCGCAAAGGCTGAACGGCACTTTGTGCAAGAACATTTCACAACAGACGACTCAAATCATTTCTCCGTCTACAGGAAGAGCACCGAGGTCAATTTCGCTTCTATCCTAGTGGTCTCCAACACTGCGTCCCTGCTGGAACAAGAAATCTTATCAGAAATTAACAAACTGGACCATATGGTGCAGGCCCTGTATGCGACCCCGAAAAACGGAAACCAGATCCCGTACAGTGAGGTGTGTGCTAAGATCCAGGGCTCCTGTGTACCCTCCAACCCACTCCTGTCTGCCTGGCAAGTGAACAAGCACCTTGACCTGAGGAAAATCACCTTCCCCGTCTACAACCCAAATGGTCAGCCTTTGAGCCTGGCTGGCTCCCTTGGAGAAATCATCTTAGGCCAGAAGATAGGAGCCAACCAGAGACTCGTGGACGCCAAAGCCATGAGGCTGCAATATTACCTGAAGACTGGAGGAGAAGATAACGAGCACAGCAAGATGTGGTTGATCCATTTCCTGAAGCAAATCAGCAACATTGAAAACAGTCTGGCCTCGAAGATGATCCAGGTATGTGGTAGCTGGGGTTAATAGGAAGGCCCGGACAAAGTGGAAAAGATAAGGAGGTTTATCCTAAGGACCATCGATAGCAATAGAGCTCCCTGAGTATTCTGTGGTGTCCTGAGTTGAAGCTGGGTGTACACTAGTGTTTGGGGTACTTAATCCAACTTTCTTAAACTAATACTGTAGGATGCCAAAAGCTTTAGATCATTGGTAATGTTCTGGTGGAAAACACAAATCCTACAACCTCAAGATAGATTTGTTGGGTACAGACATTGAGCTTCAGGTTTAGTCTTAGGGATTGATTTTTCCAACCAAATTACTTGGAAATTCTTACTTTTAGTTAAAGTCTTTGATGTTATTGAAAAAGATAACTAGGTTAATATATTTCAAGTAAATTATAGCATAGTGCCAGGCACATGTTAATTGTTTAATGTTGTTGGGTCAACTAACCTAATACTTCTGAAAGATCTGGTGAAAGTGAGATACCCACTGGAAAAAGCCTTTGAATACCAGGCCTTTCTGAAGTGATATTAGTGCATTGAAAATAGTGAAAGGTAGCAACCTAAAAAAAATTAGGAAAAGCCACAATTTCTTTATTATTTCACAGTTTCATATAAAATTTAGGTTTTATATATTCAGAAGTTTTAAATGTTGGATTTTTTAAAAAACTTTGGACATCATGCCAGAGATTTGTGGGAAGAAGCATATCTATATTCTTTTTTTTCTAAAAACATAATTCATGTATTTTGATCTTTTAATGAATTTGGACAATATTTTCATCAATAAGCTACAGTGTTTCAATAGTGTTTATAATACAAATATTGATATTAAAGTTATTTGAGTGTATTTTTGTGGCAGGTGGTCTACTTTACATCACTTTCTAGACAATTGGAATTTGAGGCAACTTCTACAACAGTGATTCCTTTGTTTTATGTGGCGTACCTTCTAATCATATTATTTTCCATTTCATCATGCTACAGGTAAAACACTTTCATTAATTTTTTAAACTTTATTTTAAAAAATTATTGTGCTAAAACATATGATAACATGAAATGTCATTTTAACCATTTTAAGTGTATGATTCTGTAATGTTAATGACGTTCACACTATTATACAATTATCACAATTATGTTTCCAAATATTTTCATCACCCCACACAAATGCTATAACCATTAAGCACTAACACCCCAGTGCCTCCTCCCAGCCCTGGTAAACCTTTAATCTACTTTCTGTCTCTATTAACTTATCTATTCTAGAGATTTAATATAAGTGGTTTCATATAATATTTGTCCTTCTGTCTTGCTTCACTTAGCACAATGTCTTTAAGGTTCACCCATGTTGTAGCATGTATGATAACTTCATTCCTTTTTATGGCTGACTAATAATATTCCATTGTATGTCACACCATATTTTATGTATCCATTTATCTATTGATAGGCACTTGGAATGTTTCCACTTTTTGACTACTGTGAATAATGCTTCAATGAACATTAGTGTACAAATAATTGCTTGAGCCCATTTTCAGTTCTTTTTCAATACATACCTAGAAGTGGGATTGTTGGGTGGTTTAATAATTCTATGTTAGGTGTTGTAGAACTGCCCAGCTCTTTTCCACAGAAGGTTACACTATTTTGTATCCCACCAGCAGTGTCTTCACTTCCTCACCAATGCTTGTTATTTTCTGCTTTATTGATTATAGTCATTCAGGTAGGTGCAGAGTAGTATCTCACTGTGGTTTTGACTCACATTTCCCGATTTGCAAATGATAAGTAACTTTCGATATGTTTATTGACCATTTGTATATCTTCTTTGGAAAAATGTCTATTAAATCTTTGCACATATTTTATTGGGTTGTTCTTTAGTTGTTGAGTCTTGTTGACGAGCCCTTTATATATTATAGATGTTAATCCCCTAGCAGACAGATATATATGACTTGTAAATAATCTCCCACTCTGTGGATAATCTCTTCAGTTTCTTGATAATGTCCACTAATGCATAAAAGTTTTATTTTGATGAAATTCAATTTATCTATTTTTTCTTTTGCTAATTGTGCTTTTGGTGCTATAGCTAAGAATCCACTGACAAGTTCAAAGTAATGCACATTTACCTTATGTTTTCCTCTAAGAGTTTATGGTTTTAGCTCTTATATTTAGGTTGTTGATTAATTTTTAGTTATTTTTATTAATGGTGCATAGTAGTGATCCAGTTTCATTCTCGTATTGTACATGGAGAATCAGTGGCTCCATTTCCATAGTTGACTTTCCTAGTCTTCAATCCAAATGTAGTTTCTCTCTTCTACTAGAGATATCTAGAGGCAGGTATCATTTATTTGTCTTGAAGCAGTTAACAAGCAAGGAAAATATAAAACCAGAAGTTGTTGTCAATATATTAAAAGACACTGTTGTGGTTGTTGGGGAGATAAAGTATTTAACCCATACCTTAAAATACTGTATGTATTCCCATTTATGTTTGTCTGACAAAAACAGGTATAGGTTGTGTTATTCAAAATGGGCTATAGTTCAGTTTTGGTGTTTTTTTTTTGCATCTAATAGGAACTTTTCTAGAGCCCACTTTACCAGTAGAGGAGATATTTTTTAAAATGTTTTAGAAGGAGGCTTTCATACTTTTTTGTTAATCACAATACATATTGACCTAGCTTTGAAATACAGGAGATGTTTAGGATTTTATTTTTGGCTAGTTGGAGTTAGGGGTTCAGAGTCAGTACCTGTGTACAGGTAGTCTCTGTGCTGGAGCTCTCCCTCCACATCTGTTTTATTCCATTCACATCCTTTTGAAGATCCAAGTGAAGTTAACCATCTGCAGTGCTTTAATGAAACTTTCTCACTTTCTCCTTCTGAAGTGCCAGCCTGTGGATTAGTATTTGGCTAGTTATATATAAATCACCCAGGGAAGTTTGGTAAAAGTACAGATTCCTAATTTTTCTGTTTCCTCTTTTTTTGAATGGGGGGGCTTGCATATTTCCTGGGAATTAAAGCTCTCTAGCAATAAGGTATGGGAATCATTGCAGAAGAGGTTCCTGAATATGTATCCCAGTCAAGAATTTTATGCATTGATGGAATTTCAGTATGGAAGCCACCACCAAAAATTCCATAATTTTTCTCTTCAAATTTATAGGTGTGACTGTGTACGAAACAAAATGTGCGTTGCAACCTTTGGAGTAATTTCTGTTGCCTTGGCAGTGGTGAGCGGCTTTGGCTTCATGTTGTATACTGGGGTACCATTTGTGACCATAGTTAAAAATTCACCATTTCTTATTCTAGGTGAGTAAAACAAAATGTGAGGCTATGTACTGTGTATGTGGGTGTGTAGGATAGATAAGGGAAGGGGCTTGTGTTAGATTAAGCAAATTAACTATGTTTAGGTGGCTTTTAAACTTTTAAGATCAGCATTTCAGTTCCAAGTATTGACCATATCAGCACACACAGAAACAATGGTGTTCATGAGTGAAAGTAGTATCCGCTCTAAGCAGAAAGCCTGAGGAGATAAAATTTATCTGCAACATGCTCTTGCTGCTCTTGCTGTTGTCCTTCTTTCCCAGTGTTTAATGATAATTTCAAAGTCTGCTTTGTTCCAAACCAAGCATGAAATGCCATTATGGAAAAGAATTAACTACTTAGTAGGCGTTAATATGTAAAGGATCCTTGAGATTTACTTTAGTACACATTTCTGCTATCAAGAGTACTTTCATTTTAATGATATAAAGCCTTATATTGGACAAGTGAAGTTTGAATGATAACATTCTGGCTATCCAAAACATACCAGAGGAAAACTACATTTTGTGTGTGTGTGTGTGTGTTTATAAGCTATTAGTGTCTCTCAAATTATACCACATTGATAGCTACATGTTAAATACAGAACGTATAACTCCAGCTTATATTTTAAACAATAGAATGTTGACTCAATGTGTTTGTGCATTAGTATAAAATGACTTATGAGAGAAAATGGTCTCTGAAGTAATCTAGTAGAATCAAAGGTGCATGGTAATTTTGCTTTGACTAACAACCAGTCAATCAGATTTCCTGACGCATCATTGAAACACCCTAAATGAAGACTAGGAGTAGAATATACTGTGCTGTGTGCAAAGAACAGGAATTATGTACAAAGTGCAGAGTTATTACAGAAGAAGTGATGAACTATGTTGTGGATTCAGAGGCAACCAGAGAAAGAATGAGAGAAAGTAGTATCAAAGCACAGATTGGGAAAGGTAAATAAGACCTTAAGTGATGGAAAAAGAAAATGGTTTAAATTGATCTGTTTAATTTTATAATGGATATTAATACTTATGAAGATTCTGTTTCTTTTCTTAACAGGTGTTGGGGTTGATGACATGTTTATCATGATTTCTGCCTGGCAGAAGACCAACCTCACAGATAGCATAAAACACCGTATGGCCAATGTCTATTCAAAAGTGGCAGTGTCTATTACAATCACCACCATCACCAACATCCTGGCCTTCTATACAGGGATTATGACCTCTTTCAGGTCTGTACAGTATTTTTGCATTTATACAGGAACAACCCTGTTCTTTTGTTATTTTTACAACATCACCTGTTTTGGAGCATTTATGGCCCTGGATGGTAAAAGAGAAGGAGTCTGTTTACGTTGGTTAAAAAAGACAGATAGGCCTGACCAAAAATGTTCCTTCTTAAAACGATGCTGCTGTCTCCCATTTGGTTCTCTTCCAGATGAACAGGGAGCAGATATCCATCCAATGAATTTGTTCTTTAAAGACTATTTTGGACCTGTTCTCACAAGCAGTAAGACCAAGATTTTTGTAGTGCTTCTATACATTTTGTACCTCATAAGTAGTATATATGGGTGTTTCCAAGTGAAGGAAGGTTTAGACCTTCGAAATTTGGCGAGTGATGATTCTTACATTACACCATATTTTAATGTAGAGGAAAGGTATTTTTCACATTATGGTCCCAGAGTTATGGTTATTGTTACCGAACCTCTTGACTACTGGGATAAATATGCTAGGCAAAAATTGGAAAAATGTCTGAGAGATTTTGAAAACAATGGCTATATAGATGAAAGTCTTACAGAGTTTTGGTTACAAGAATATGTGCAATACATGGAAGATAACAAACGAGACATAAATGATAAGAATACTTTTATAAACAGTATTTCAAGTTTTGTTATGAAATTTCCACTTTTTATGTACGATATTAATATTTCATCATTACATGAAATCAGTTGTTCCCGGGCCTTCATTCAGACTACAGGTATTTCTTCTTCAACCAACAAGAAAAAGATGTTAATCCAGTTACGAGAGTTGGCTGAAGGGTGTGAAATTCCTTTAATGGTGTATAACCAGGCATTCATATATTTTGATCAGTATACTGCAATAATAGAAAACACTGTTCGAAATGTCATTGTTGCATCAACAATTATGTTTGTTGTTTCTCTATTGTTAATTCCTCATCCACTGTGTTCTTTGTGGGTAACGTTTGCTATTGCTTCTGTGATTGTAGGAGTAACAGGTTTCATGGCGTTCTGGAATGTCAATCTTGATTCCATATCCATGATTAATCTTGTCATTTGTATAGGGTTTTCTTTTGATTTTTCTGCACACATTACCTATGCATTTGTTTCCAGTTCTGAGCCCTCAGTAAACCAAAAAACAATTGAAGCATTGTATATGCTAGGCTACCCTGTGTTACAAAGTGCAATTTCAACAGTTATAGGGGTGTGTGTTTTAGCTGCAGCTAAAGCATACATCTTCAGGACATTTTTTAAGATTATGCTTCTTGTTATGTTATTTGGGGCTGCTCATGGTCTAATTTTTATTCCAGTATTCTTAACCTTTTTTTGAAGTCTTGTTTACAATATCCACTAGCAAATCGAAGGTCAGTTGTAGAATTCCTGATTGTCCCAACTCAAACTGATAAAAATGCACTATTAACAATAGTCATCGATAAACTAAAAATAAAGGCATGTTTCCTTGACTTGGAAATCCCATTTAAAATGTTATTGAGCATATCCTGAGAAAAATTAGTCTTATTTTAAAATATCTATATTACTCAGCCCATATCTTACCTTCTTTTAATAACTTAAGAATGAGTAAACCCACATTACAACTCCAGGACCTTTTTTCTATTGACTAACAAATTTTTAAAACAAATGTATCTCTTTACAACCCTTAAAAAAAATAAAAGATCTTTACTAAATTAGAATGTGTTGTCATCTTTATTAAGGTCTATATAATCAAGAATAAAGTATAAATTTCCAGTTATTTTTCTCTTATTTAATCACTAGAAGTTCATGCCTAGAATTCAAGTATTTAATATGTTATACCATAAGCGCAATCTTTTCAATGTACTTCCTGTATGTATTTTATAAAAGTTCACCTATTTTTTAAACATCCACAAGTGAGACTAAAAAACCTGGAATTGTGAAAACACCAGTTAAACCCAAAGAGGGGGCATCCCAACCGTAGAGACAGAGAGACAGATTTCACTTTGGTATTGGAGAGAAACTGCAACTTACTGCATGTTTGTATTATTATTTTTTTCATCGTTCTTACATTTTTTATTTTAATAGTATTTTTGTATTCCTCTTCTTTCTGTATAGTCTTCTTTGCTTGGCTGGTTATATTGTATCATGTAACAGGTTTACCCTGTTCTCTCTTTCATAGTATATTGCTATTTTACTGTCCTTCACTTCACCTGTGTTCCTTTAGCACACTGTTCAAGGTCCTATACCCCCTGTTCTTGTTATCCGGATCACATAGATTCTGTCATATGATTGTTGCTCTAATATTATTATTAAAAATAGCTGTTCCATACAATTGTAAATACTTCACAACACCCCTCCCAGATCTTAGCCCACTTCACAAATTCCTGAACTCTATTACTATAGTGGTTAACTCTGTTCTCTCACACACCACACCTATTTACTATCCTTTACTCTCAGCTTACCTCAGAATCTGACCTCCCACAACCTCACTGCTTTATAGATCTAACTCACGAGCCTTCCCTCCCCAACAGGAGTCTTATCTTCTTTCTATCCTTTTTTAAAAGTTGCTAGTTGGGTGGAAGATCATGGTTAACACTATACATAGCCAAAGGATCTCCTATTTCTTCTCAACTGGCTGTTACTGTAAATATCATAGAATACACTCCTGCTGTCTTAAACCATCTTGCCTCCCCCCCCAACTTATCACAAAAAAGAGTGGGTGGAAGCAGTGAACACCAGGATACCCACTGGAAGAGGCAGCCCAACAACAAAAGAACCACCAACAGATAACAACAGAAGAAGGTGAAGGAGGGAGTGCAAACCACATAAACCTCAATCCAGGACCTATCTGGAAATACAGCTAAACAGTGGAGAAACTACCCAGGACAAAAAACTGAACAAGAGCAAAAGAGAATCCTCAAAACCCTGTACACACGGAAAAACAAGCTTCAAAGCAACTTGCCCTCACCAGCACAACCAAATACAAGAGGTGGTGGACAGACTGACCCTCAGCCAGCTGGTGGGAAGGCCCAACAACAGTCAAAACCCAAAGAGAAACACAGAGCCAACTTAAACAGCCCAAGACCAGTGAGCTCAGGAGATCAAGGAGACTACACCACTGAATCTCACAGGTATTCTACCACAGAAGTTCACACCATAAACCCAGAGAGCCAGAACAGATCAATTTACGAAGCTGAGGCTAATAAGAAGAATCTCACAAACAATGGGAAGGCAAAGAAACAATCCCCAAGTGAAAGGAAAAGAGGAAGCCTGAAAAAAAAATGCTAAATGAAGTACAGGAAACTCAGCTATCAGATATTGAGTTCAACACAATGGTTATCAGGAAGCTCAATGAGTTAACAGAAAATTACCAGGAACTACAGGGAAACTGCAAACTATATCAACATGAAAAAGGAAATAGAGACTATCAACAAGGGCCAAGAGGAAATGAAGAATACAATTTCTGAACTGAAGAACACAGTAGAAGGAATCAAAAGCAGGATCGAAGAAGCAGAAGATTGGATCAGTGAGCTGGAGGACAAAGTAGAAAAATACACCCAGAAAGTACAAGACAAGGCAAAGAGGCTCAGAAAGGATGAAGAGGGATTAAGAGAAATGCAATACAATGAAACAATAATATCTGTATAATAGGCATACCAGAAGGAGAAGAACATGAGCAAGGGATAGAAAACCAATTTGAAAAAGTAATGATAGAAAACTTCCCTAATTTGATGAGAGGAAAAGTCACACAAACCAGGAAACACAGAGAGTTCCAAACTTCAAGACACATCATCATTAAAATGGCAAAATTCTAAGACAGAGAGAATCTTAAAGGCATCAGGGTAGAAACAGGAAGTAACATACAAGGGAGCACCAGTCAGGTTAGCTACTGACTTCCCAATGGAAACACTGCAAGCAAGAAGAGAATGGCAAGAAATATTCCAAGTAATGACAACCAGAGGCCTTCAACCAAGGCTACTTAACCCAGCAAGGCTCTCAATCAAGATAGAAAGCCAAATAAGGAGCTTCCAAGACAAAAGAAGTCTAAAAGAATATACCTGCACCAAACCAGCTTTGCAAGAGATGCTAAAGGTACCGCTTTAAGGAAAGGAAGAGAGAGAGAGAGAGAGAGGAACACAAGTATGAAAATGCCAATGAATAAGTACCTATCAATAATAACCTTAAATGTAAATGGATTAAATGCTCCAATCAAAAGACATAGAGTAGCTAAATGGATAAGAAAGTATGACCCACATGTATGCTGCCTATAAGAGACCCACCTCACAACAAAAGACCTGCACAGACTGAAAGTGAAGGGCTAGAAACAAATATTCCAAGCAAGTGGACAGGGAAAAAAAGCCATGGTAGCATTACTCATCTTAGGCAAAATAGACTTCAGAAAAAGAGCCATAAAAAGAGACCCAGAAGGTCACTTCATAATACTCAGGGGAAGAATCAATCAGGAAGACATAAATATTGTAAATATATATGCACCCGACAAAGGAGCACCCAAATATATAAAGAAAACCTTGGAGAATTTCAAGAAAGATATTGACAGCAATGCGATTATAGTAGGGGATTTTAACACCCCACTGTCAAAAATGGACAGATTTTTCAAACAAAATATCAACAAAGATATTATGGCATTGATCAAAGTCCTAGATGAAATGGATTTAACTGATATATATATAGAGCCCTTCATTCCAAAGAAGCTGGATACACATTCTTCTCAAATGCACATTGAACATTTTCAAAGATAGACCATATGATAGGACACAAAATGAACCTCAACAAATTCAAGAAAATTGAAATCATACCAAGCATTTTCTCTGAGCACAAGGGACTAAAACTAGAAACCAACCCCAAGGGGAAAAACACTCAAAATCATGGAGATCGAATAGCATGTTATTAAACAATGAATGAATGGGTCAAGAGTGAAATTAAGGAAGAAATCAAAAAAGTTTCTGGAAACAAATGAAAATGAACTCACAACATTCTAAAATTTATGGGACACAGCGAAGGCAGTTCAGAGAGGGAAGTGTATAGCAATACAGGCCCACCTAAAGAAGATAGAAACATTTCAAACAAACAACCTAACCCTACGCCTGCAAGAACTTGAAGAACAACAACAAAGACAGCCCAGAACAAGTAGAAGAAAGGAAATAACCAAGATCAGAGCAGAATTAAATGACATAGAGACTAAAAACACAATTCTGGGGGTCAGTGAATCCAGGAGCTGGTTCTTTGAAAAGATAAACAAAATAGACAAACCTTTAAGTAGGCTCATCAAGAAAAGAAGTGAGAGGACTCAAATGAACAGAATCAGAAATGAAAGAGGAGAGATTACAACTGATACCACAAAAATAGAAGGGATTGTAAGAAATTACTATGAAGAACTGTATGCCAAGAAATTTGGAAAACTAGATGAAATGGACAAATTTCTAGAAAAATATAATCTTCCAAAACTCAATGAAGAAACAGCAGAAAGCCTGAACAGACCAATAGCAGCTGATGTAATTGAAGCAGTAATCAAAAAACTCTTGACATACAAAAGCCCTGGACCAGAAGCTTTCACAGGAGAATTCTACAAAGCACTTACTGAAGAGCTAACCCCTATCCTTCACAGACTATTCCAAAAAATCCAAAATGATGGAAAATTCCCAAGCTCTCTTTATGAAGCCAGCATCACCCCAATCCCCAAACCACATAAAGATACAAGAAAGAAAGAAAATTTTAGGCCAATATCGCTGATGAACATGGATGATAAAATCCTCAACAAAATATTGGCAAATCGCACCCAACAATCTATCCAAAAGATCATACACCATGACCAAGTGGGATTCATCCCAGGGATGCAAGGATGGTTCAATATTCACAAATCAGTAAATGTAATACATCACATAAACAAAAGCAAAGACAAAAATCACATGATCATATCAATAGACATGGAAAAAGCTTTTGATAAGGTACAACACCCATTTATGATAAAAACACTCAGCAAAGTGGGAATAGAATGAGCATTCCTCAATATAATAAAGGCCATATATGAGAGACCTACAGCCAACATCATAATCAATGGGGAAAAACTAAAATATTTTCCACTAAGATCAGGAACAAGACAAGGTTGTCCACTTTCACCACTTCTATTCAATGTAGTATTGGAAGTTTTAGCCGCAGCAGTCAGACAAGAAAAGGAAATAAATGGAATCCAAATTGGAAAGGTGGAAACAAAACTGTCATTGTTTGCAGATTACATGATAGTATACACAGAAAGTCCTATAGACTTGGCCAAAAAACTGCTTGACCTAATAAATGAATTTGGCAAAACAGCGGAATACAAAGTCAATATCCATAAAT